TGGGGAATTCTGGGAGTTGAAGTCCACTCATCTTAAAGTGGCCAAGTTTGGACAACACTGCACTAGTTGCTTTAGCATAGGTTTAGCGTGGCGAGATTCTGTCTATTAGGAGCGTCATACAAGTTTGATAATAAAAAAATAAATAAATAAATAAAGGGACTGGACTGGACTGCCTCGTTGTTCTTGGGCTGGGCCTGACAACTGCCTTGAATGGGTCTGGTAAGATGAGAGGCAGCATACATAACTGGAAGGAAAATAAAATAATAAGCTTTTCTAGCTCATCAGCTGAACCTTCTGACTGATTATGAATGCGTGACGATAATACTAGCAAACCACAAAGCAATTATGAGCATATTCCACAATCACAATGCTGCTAACCAGATGACTCCGTATAATTGCCTTAACTGAGTGAATTAAGGTACTTGGGCATTTTAGAAGCAGCCCATCAAAAGTAGAAAGAAGAGAGATGTCCTATTTTCCTGTATGAGCATGTATTTCGTCACTGGGGAATCATGTGTTTTTTGATTCATGAGCTAGAATGTATTGTGGGCGGATTTCTGTGTCACTTTTCCTGCTCGATCCACATCCTCCGTATTCAGAGACGGGCCTTTGTTCAGAGGTTACCATAGTTTAAAGCCAATGGCAGGGATTTTTTTGAGGGCGCTATTATTCTGTCTGCCCTGAACCTACTGCCAAATAATGTTGCCAGGCAATTCTCATCTCTGGCATCAAGTAAGAAAGAGAGAAGGAGAAGGAATCTAACAGCCTCATTACCAGCATTAATCAAATGTACAAGTTTGCTTTCCTGATGCAATTCTCATCACCTTTATATCCCTAGATGTCTGATTTCAGCCTTCTGGAAGCAAGTACAACAGCTGTGTTTTGCAAGAAGAGCATTATCATCACATGCAACTAAAAATACTGCCTGCTGTTTCTTACTTGTCGTAGGCTCCAGAGTAGCGTCCAAAGTATAGCTTCTGGAAAGGCACAAAAGTCCTGTCCACGTGCTGCTTCAGCCGTAGTGGCCCATGCCAGAGGTAGTTGCCACTCCTTTCATAGAAGACTACTAGATGGATGGCATGAGTTGCCTGCTTGAAGATGTAGTGCAGGGGGACTTCTGTTCCAGAGAGATCCTGCATCCCTTCTAAACGTGGATCTTTGCTCTGAAGCTTTAGCCACTGGAATCCCATTCTCTCAGCAGCCTGGAACAAGCCCACCTAAAACCAACATAATGTCTTTGTTCCAACCACCTCCATAAAACTTCAGCCGTGCTTCACTGAACACTTCCTTTTCAGTTGAAACGAAAACAAAACATGGCAGAAGAGAACCATCTCATGGCAATTTCACCATCGTTTTCCAAGAAGCTGTTCTTGAGTATACTATTGCTTAGTTAAACCATACTTCTCAAGACAAGTCAGAAAACGACTCTGGCAGAAATGAACCTCTATAACGGTCAAAGCAAAGACGTGTCATTTCTAAATGCTAACATCCAAGTCAATCTCCAAGAATTGGAGCATCATGTGTTGGATTACTACATGACTTACTCTCTCAAAGTTTCTCAGGAAACACACCGCCACAGATAATTAATTCCCATGCCCAGACCTGGGCATGGGATGGAGTCCACATTGGTCACTCTTGTGCAAAGTGGCCCCTCCTTGTTTTGTTAGCTTTTTCAGTGGCATTCACTTCCTTTGATCATAGTATTCTTTTGGGCGGCCTGCTTTTTAAATGGCAATTCCAATTGGTGTTGTGGAAGGAGGAGAGGTCAAGCCCTTGAACACTTTGGTGGGCACTCCATTTGCTTAACATCTACATGAAACCAATGTGAGAGATCATCCAGAGGTTTAGGGTCAGGTATCATCAATATGCTGATAATACCCACCTTTACTTCTCTACCTCTCTCTACCATGCAGGAGAGGCAGTGGAAGTCTTGACCCAGTGCCTGAAACTGTGAATGATTGAATGGGGCAAACTATGGATGTTCTACCTATTTCTATAAATGGGGCTGTGCTTCCCCTGAAAGAGCTGGTGTACAATCAGAAATTTCTTGGAGTTAGCAGCACCGGCCGGAGCAGCAGGTGGAGGCCATGGCCAGCAGAGTCTGCAGCCAGTTTTGGTGAGCCTGCCAGTAGCGTCTCTGAACCAGAAGATGTTGAAAAGAGTGATTACAGTCTTGTCAGCTGTCAGACTACTGCCATTCACACTATGTGGGGCTGACCTTAAAGAGAACTCGGAATTGCAGCTGGTGGTGAATGAGGCTGACCACTTGCTGACTGGTGTTAGTTGTTTCTGACGGAAAACACTTGTATTTTAGGAGCTGCATTGGTTGTAATAAGTTTCTGGGCCCAATTCAAGATGTTGGTGGTTACCTATAAACCCTATTCATCTTGGACCCTTGCTACCTTCAGGATCATATTCTGCAAGTAGACTCTGCCCACCCTACATCATCGAGTGGGGAGGGAATGCTTTGGATGTCATTCCTCAAAGAGATTGGTAGGCTGGGACCCAGACATTCTCAGGAGCACCCCCTCCTTCTAGAACAGCATAACCCTGGGGATCAGATGTGCCTGTACCCTCATGTCCTTTAGAAAAATGGCAAAGAAGGCATTCAGGTGGAAGATCTTACTTAATGGCACCTTTTTATAAACAGCATTTAATAGTTTTATTGATTATTAAGTGTTTTTACCCTGTTTTTATCTATGTTTTAGTTTTATATATTGTAAGCTGCTTAGAGTCAAAAAAATAGGGGCATACAAGTGTGGGCAAATAAACAAACGTGCACCTTTAGCCTTTATCTCTCTTTTGCATCCTATTAAACAACTGCAAACTTTAGCACAGTTAGATAAAGCTGGAAAAAGACATTTACTTCAAGTTTCCAGGTTTTGTCCAGTAGTGCAAATGTGGTATAATCCCTTGGGACACAGAAGTATTTGCATTCTGAGTGACTGCCATCAGAGAAGGCCCTAAGCTGCTCCAGATCTCTGTCGATCAGTCCCAAAAGGAGGGGATCAATCAGATGCACAGCTATGTTGTGGCTGGCCACCAAATTCAGAAATTTCCTAACCACGTGCTGTTTGAAAAAGAGAAAGGGAGGAGAGGAAAAACATCAGGGGTAAATGTTTGCTGAAAATCTGTATCAAAATAATAAGTAATAACCATAATAATAATTTTAAAAGATCATTAGCATCAAAGGCTTTTGTATAAATAATTGCAGTTAATGTAACAACAGCTATTTTGGCATATCTGGCAAAAATCAAACTGAAGATTGAAAAAAACTGAAAAGTTTAGGATAAACTTTGGTGCCAAAGCCAAGGCTGGGTGCCTTTTAGGGTAGAAGGCTGCATTCAATCTCCTTCAACATCCTAGGCATGACCCTCGAAGAAGTGTAAGTGGTAGAGATTAATTCCCAGTAAGTCAATCACTATTATCAAAATAAGTACAGTAATTTAACACAAGTTATGCAAATATTCCCCTATGTATTTAATAATACCCTTTGGTAATGATTATTTGCACGTATTACATTTGGTGGGCTCCAGGAGGCAGGCCTTCTCTGCCATGGCACCCGCCTTGTGGAATCTTCTCCCCCCCGGAAGTGAGGTTAGCTCCGTCCCTCTCAACATTCCACAAGTCCCTCAAGACCTGGCTGTGTGGTCAGGCCTGGGGGTCCCAGGGACCGGGGAGATTTTGCAATGGCTCCCTTATTAATGTTATCCCCTCCTGTTTTGTGTGCTTTTATAGTTACTTTTACTTGTAATAATTTTTTATGTATTTATTTGTTTTATTAATTGTTGTACGCTGCCCAGAATCACTCATGTGAGATGGGCAGCTATATAAATATGATAAATACAATAAATAAATAAATACATAAATGTATTCTCCTCACGCCACTGCCTCCCTCCTTTTCACTGAGTTGTCTCTTCCACCTCAAGTTTGTTGTTTCTGAGAAGTAGTAAAGTCAGACATATTTACCCATTGACTACTGTCTTGTCCTGCTTTGCTCCCTTTAATCTTGGGAAAAACAGCTCCATTCTAACAAAACCAAACAAGAGAAATAAAGCTCTATAACTCCAATCTCAACCATACCATGAAATTATAATAACAAAAAACAAAGCTTCAGTGATTTTTACTACCAAGCAAGCATGCTTCAGAATAACATTTGGTATCTCTGCCTTCTATAAATGATGTTTTTCCCCCAGCATATTTTAAATCACTATAAGCACTTGTTTAGATCTGTAACTCTGGGTTTGGGTTTGCTTGCAAATAATGAGTATCATCAAATGTTACCTTTGGAGACAGATAATACTTATAATAGTACAACTGGAACAGAAGAAAGATTGAGCTGGTCAAAGTAAGAAGGCCCAGAACTACGTTTTTGTTAATTCTCTGCATCAGTCTTTTGAACTCTCCTGGTAGTCATTAGAAAGCAGTAGTTTGGTGCTTCTCATCTTTTTAGATGGGCTATTATGAGTTTCAAAGCTGGGAAAACATAAAAAATGGAATTCAATTAAGAAGGTATAATAGTCTTATGCTTTTTAAAAAATAAGCTGTTATTCTTCTGTTTAAATAGCTATCCTACAGCAAGTTCTGAGATGTAATTAAAAACTCATCATAAAAAATTAAAAAGTTATTTTATCGATTTACAACTGATTTGGTGTTGCTTTATTTTGCATATTACTCTGAACCAGTTCATGTCTGGCACAACAACGCCTTGAAGCTCTCACTAGGCAAACTTCTCTGGGAAGAACATCCCGTAAGCAAGATACCTTCTCACTAACGCTTACCTACTTCAATTCATTTTTTGGGAGGGAAGCTAGAAAAAGCAGAAATTCAGTCCATCTCAATACAAGCTATCATTTAATGTTATTTCTAAAATTAATTCCCTATTCTAATGACAAACAAGTAACCTTACCCCCAACCCAACATGGTGACAGAGCAGTTTTTTTAAGATGGAACATTTTCCTCAGTCAAAGCATACAGTTCAGACAAGCTTGGCAGGTTAAGAACTGCATGATGGTTGCTTTTCAGGTGATTGTCTTAAAGAAATGGGGATGTGGGGATTTCAGGGTTCTCCCTTATGTTCCAATGGCTGGGAGAGAAGAGAAAGGGAAAGTGACAGCCCTACAAGGGAGACTAGGCCAAGAAACAGGTGCCTGGTGTGCCTTAAACTAAACAACAATAAGATTGGTTCTAGTAACAAAGTCTTGCAAGTCTGAATGTGAATTAGGGGGTCACCTGAGACATGTTCATAACTTCCCCCTCATCTAGACTTAAGCAATGTTCATCTACTTGTTGGCTTAGTAATGGATCTTCCCTCTCTCTGTCAAGGTCATCCTCTTTACTCTCTATGGAAAGTAGCTAGAGAAGGAGCAGAGAAATGATACAAACATTTCTTCTTCTTCTTCTCTGTAGCCAGAGTGAATGAAGTTGCCCCATGGAGGACTACCTGCTTCCTACTGTGAACTGAACAAGAAAGCAGCCAGAGGCAGTTTTGCACGTGCACTGCATTCTTGATCCTGGCAAGCTTGACGGACATTCCCAATGGTCTGCTTGAAAAGGATCTGCTCTGCGCATCCGTTTTTCAGGCCTAAGCCACACGTTGATGAAAAAGCTACTAAAGTTGGTCACTCCAGATGAATTACCTGGCACTGATCTGTGATTTATGCAAGATCCTCTTGGTGTAAGAGATCAAAAGAAGCCTCTCTGCTGAGTTTTTAAAAAATTGAACATCTTCAACAACTTGGGCTAGTATAGCTGAAAAGGCAAGCCTTACGGTCTCCAAATATGTCTAGCCTTCCCTTCCATTCCACATCCCATAGTTGCAGGGGCCAACTGCAACTGAGCAGCAGAGTGTTCTTGCTAACAGAAGGAAAAAGTAGAAAGATAATGGTATTAACCCCTTTGTATTGTTGCAGAAACTTGATCACTCAAATCTTGAACCTCCAGGTCTAGAAAAGGGACTGGCAGGATGCTCAAAAGTAAACCCACTAGATATTCATCCATTCTGAATTCATCTTCAACACAGTTATGACATTTTTTCTGCAGTAAAATTGCTTAAGACCAAGAAAAAGCAGAGGCAGTGCACAAGTGGTATACCTTTTTCTGTGAGCAAAACCTGGAATACATCGGAATTATACTCCCGTTTAATTGAATCTCACTTTCTAACTCATCAGCTGAACCTTCTGACAAAGGACACACTGAATGTGAATGCAAGACAACAGTACTAGCAAACTGCCAAGCAACTGTGAACATATTCCACAATTACAATGCTGCTAACCAGATGACTCAACCTCTCAAATCATTCCTGCAAGCATATAAAAGCAGATTGTCAACAAGAATGAACTTTGAGTCCTAGTTCAAGGAGCATTTAATTTGCTATTACTAATTTCAACACCCATCAAGAATCCTGAAGGAGATAGGCCTTGTCTTTCTAATATTCCTAAGATATTCAGGCAAATTGCAGGTTGCGTAAATACAGTACAGTATGTCATTGTGGTTTTTCTTGACATAACTTTGGTTGTGTGGTTTGAGTTTAATTGCCCTTGGTGCCATGACACTATTATTGTGTCATTTTTGTTTATTGGTATTATTTATTTATTGCTGTATTGGTTTTAATCCCATGGTCACCACCCAGAGTTGCAATTGCGAGATGGGCGGCAATATAAATCAGGATTAGAAACTTGTAAAAAGAAGCAATAAAACAAACGTTTACTGAGACATCTGAAGTGGACAGCATATTATTTCTCTCAAGGTTGCAGAGATACTGCAACACTCAAGGTCCTACTGTCAGGATCTGAAGCATGCCACCACCAGCAGGATCACATGAACAGAACTAGATCGGTTCCAGATGAATCAAGGCAAAAAGAAGCAGCAGAATCAAGTAATAAATGGAACACACTGCAAAGCTAGATTCCTTTTTCCAAACTACTTGTACCCAGATAATTAATCACATAACAGTAAGCAGCCTTGTGCAGCATGAGAAGTGGCCTTGACTCATGAACTGACCCTTGAATGAAGTTGAATGTGATTCAAGCATTCCTGAAAGAGACTTGCTTCAGACTGCGCATGTTTCAGTCTGAGTTAGACATGCTATGCCCCAATAGACATTTCAGCACAAGAGTGTTAAACAGTGATGGCCAATCTTTAACTGCTTCCTTAAAACTGCATTTAATTTACTGCCTACTACCCAATGTTGTTTCCAACATTCCAAATTTTTTCCCCACATATCATTTTTAGTTTCTTTGAAGGAATGTTCAAACTTCACAAAATAGGCTAGATTCAATTGTTTTCCCCGCATCAACTAATATAGCCCAAAATACTGGATTCTGGATACAAATATGCAAATATGACTACTACTTATTTGCATCATTCACAATTTTCTGGAAATTCCACGCCCGTGCTTGAAAGAACAACTTTATGCAACCAATGAGCATAACCCACCAAGGTCAGTCACTAGAAAGCCTTTTACCAGAAATAAACATTAAATTATTTCTGTCAATCTCTATCCAGCATTAAGAACAATCCTGGGCTGACAGTTTTTTCTTTTTTTCCTTCTCAGCTAGGAACATTTTACAAGCGGTTGGCGGGGAGTCAACCATATACCTATGGAATGCCTGATTTTCTCCCAAATACGGTTGTAGGCAAAACTATATAAAAGCTAAGGAAGCTTGATCTCAGTAGGGAACGCTGGGACTTCAATCCTTCTGGTGAAATTTAATCTCTCCCCTTCCTAAATGAAGTAAACCCAAACGCAACATTTGTCATCTATTCCCTTCCAACCCTGAAAATTAAACGCGCACAGGGAAACCTGCGTCCTCCCCAGATGCCCATGAACTACAATTCCCAGCATCCCTCACCATTGGCCATACTGCGTCAATACCTGGAGGGCTACCGGTTTCTTGCTCAGGTTTAGACTGTGAAGTCTTCGGGGCGAAGAAAGCTGCTGACGCTACCTTCTTAAAACGTTTGTTTCCTCGTTATGCTGAAATATTTCTTTTCCGCTTATCCGTTCAAGGCTGTTGGCGGTATAAAATAAGGGCTAATAACGCGATGTTGACGCCCTTACCTGCCAGGCGCGAGGTGAAGTGGGGGAGACCGCGAGACCGCGAAGGATGGGCTTTTGCGACACTACCCACCGTAAAGCAAGGCCACGCTTTACGTCAGCTATAGCTTATAGCGATGGAAGGCAGCTAGGCTTGATGCGCCTGTGGTGCTTTGTGGTGCGTGGCTCGGCTGCCACTCTGTCTTTCTAGAAACACGTTTGTTTAGTTCAGTGCGCATCGCCGCTGCGTTGCAACTAGCGTTGGACCGTTCGCTTTATTACTAAATGATTAAATTTTGCAGCATCGAGGGTAGTGGCGCCCGGGTGGAGGCTTCACCGCAGTTGGGAACCGGACGTGGCGCTGAATCTGCGGGCGTAGGAGAGGGATGGGCTCAGCCCACGGGGGCTTAAAGGCTGGCCCTCGCGCGTGGGTTTCGGGGCAGGGAGACCTGCCGAGATTGGAAACAAAGCGGCGTCAGGTCTGGGTAGCATTTGTAGAAGAGATCGCTGGGAAGCATAGGCTGGGCTGGGAAGGCGAAAAAGGCGGCGGCAGTAGCAAAAGAAAATATTGTGGAGTCCTTGGGGTTCTCTGGGGTTGTTTTCTTGCAGACGTTTCATTACCCAGCTAGGTAACATCTTCAGTGCTAGAATGGGATGAGGTTTGCTGTTTATAGGTTTGCCTGAATGCAAATTTCTCCCAGCTGCGTGCTTTCTGCAGCGTTAGATGTCCATATGTAGTACCAACAGAAGAGAAAACATGTAGCTCAGGGTTGCACTGTGGAGTCCTTGGGGTCCTCTGAGCTTGGTTTTCTATAAACAGAGAGCAAACCCCACTCCCTTCCAGCACTGAAGACGTTACCTAGCCAGGTAACGAAACATCTGCAAGAAAACAACCGACCTCAGAGAACCCCAAGGACTCCACAGTGCAACCCTGAACTGCGTATATTCTCTTCTATTGAAAAAAGTATCGTTTCCAGGAATACATGGCTGTTAGGAAAGTTTTTCCATCAGCTATTCGCAGATAGTGTTGGTTTTTTTTTTAAGTATGTTGATCTTCAGTAACGGGATTTTTAAAAAATGAAGACAGACACTCAAGTGTGAGTAACCAAAAAAAAAAAATCCTCAAAGCAGTTGGAAGGCTAGCTTCATCATGGAACTGTATAAACTGTTCCCTACCATTATGTCTAGTTTTTTAATTTAAAAAGGTTTATCAGAAGAAATGTCTTCAACAAATTGATGTTATTGGTTTATAGTAGTCGTATGATGGTTGGGGGGGGGATGTTGCCTACCTACACTATTGTGAAAATAACTAATAACAACAACATACCTATTCCTCAGCTAAATAAATCCGTGACCATTTTCTGCTTTGTCCATAGACTGTAACCAAAGGGTTTTAAGAGCTTGCTAGAAAAACCCAATCAAGGAGATTGGACTTGCTCAATTTGAGGAAAACACTGTATTTACTCACACTGAAAATTACCAGTTAATTTTGGGGATTTCTATTGACTTCTTATAGTGTCACTCTCTTCCAGCATGAATTCCTGTAAAAAATACAGCACTGCCCTACCTATCTTCAAGTACCGTAAGAATGTTGTTAGCCTCTTCCCACGATCACTAAACAGTAAACAAACTCGCACCTGATGAGGTTTGTCTCTTCAGAAAGCTACAAAGGAAGATTGGGTACCATTTTCATGCAAGTTGTATCAGCTTTGTTAGATTTATAGCCTGCCTTTCACTCAGGAGCTCAAGGGGGCATGCATACCAATCCCACCCCCTCAACAACCAGGCAGGCTTGGCCATGTGTGTGTGGCTGGCCCACAGTTGCCTAGTGAGCTGCTGTGGCTGACTGGACACAAACCTGGGTCTCTGAAGTGCCAATTCAGTGCCTTCACCACTACACCAGACTGGCTCCCTATGCCAGAGAAACAGTTCCGTCCTTAAAGACACTGATTTCAGCAGCATGGCAATAGTAAAAAAAGAGACTGCAAGAAGTGGAGTGATTTTCCAATGTTTATTAATACAAAATCCCTCCAAGATGTGAATGAGTTAAAGACACAGCAAATAAAAACATTCAGTGGGCTCTAAGGCACCCAGTGTTGTTCTGGCAGATGGGATTGTTATTTTTGGATACTTTCTCAAGGATTAAGACCGAAGCACTGAATGGAAGCATAACCGTCAATCCACAACAACCTTGTTGAATAATAATAATACGCATTCTAATCTCAGCACCTAACACCACAACCAAGAGCAGTGATATGTACCAAGTTTGAAAAGGCACATGCAGAACTATTTATCAATGGTGAAAAACAGTCAGCCTATAGGGCAAAAACTTGAATACAATATGTTCCTTCAGTTTAGTGCCAAACCCCAAAATATCTGGAAGAGGTAAGGTCAACAAGTGTGAAACCAGCCACAGATGAAATGCTACTGTGCCAAGTTATAATTTGCATAATTCAAATGTCAATATTCATGAGATGATAATTTGCTTCAAACCTGTTTTCCCCATAAAGAATGCATGTCCAAAAGCAAGGGAGAGAAAAGAGACAACAGTTCACTGGGGGAAAAAAAATTAAGACTATTTCTACTTTCCTTAGCCAATGTTATTTAAGTCTGTAAGATTAAACTGAACTCTTAGCATCTGTCTTGTATAATAACTCTGTAATATTTAAATAATACTAAATTAAATTTTCATCCATAATATTGTCCATGTGGCTTCAGCTTTAATCTGTTGTTTTGACAATAAATTCACATAATTTGACATTTAAATTTAATCAAATATTCAATTTCTACTCTAGTTTACAAAATTTTGGTACTCAGTTACTGAATCAAAATTCATAATTTTCTGAATACTAAATCAGCAAAAGAGATTTGCTTTTCCCCATAAGTTTACAAAACAAAACTATAATAGAAAAATACATTTTATGGTAAGTAAGCAGACAAATTATGTACATACTGGAAAAACACTATCCATTGTTACTGATCTAGCATTCCATACCCAAAAACACAACCTAAGTAATACTTTCATTCAACATCTGCGTGCTTGCCATCAAATACAGCTGATCAGAATTATTATGTGATTAACTTTTTAAAGTACTTTACTTTATAAGTAAAGAAAAAGTGTCTAAAGTGCTTAAAGAATCTCCTCGTCTCTTACTTTGTTAAACTGATAGGGGATTACTTTGTTGAGCACCATCAGAACTAAATATGCCTCAACTATTTCACAGTATTTATTTTCCTCACAATGGTGATAAGAATCCTGTATTTTTTCAATGTATTTTTGTAGATGCAATTTAAGAACCTCCAAACACTAGCACTGCAACTCAGTAAAACAAATTAGAATGCAGATGAGTTGTGGAATATTAATAGCTGAATAACTGAACTGACAATGTATATGGGTCTGCATACATACCTCTCAGTAGCAAAAGTCAATTCTACTTTTTAACTACCACATCATTCAAATTTCCACAAGATTCAGGGTAATTAGGATTATATTTTCAGAATTCCAAATGTGAATAATATCTTTAGAATAGTCCTTTTACTCCCCAGTGGAGTTGGCATTTGATATTCAAGCCAGTTATAAGAAAAATTTTATTTCATAAGTCAAATATGTAAGTAATATAAATTTGAGGTTAAGTACTCTAAAAAAAAATCACAAATACAGGGAGTCTTGCCTACAGAAAATCACATTGTAAACAATTCCTTGGTGTACATGATAAATACACACTTCCTTCTACGCAGTTTTAACTTGATTCAAGTTGGTTGAAAGGGAACATACAAGAAGAACCTGAGAAAACCAACTGGACAGACAATTCAATTGAGAACATCCATCCTGAATTTCTAAGATTGCATGTATCTATTTTTTCAAACAGGAAAATTATGAATGTGCTTTGATATAAAAAAGCACTTTTCTTTACACTCTTTTGTGAAGTTTCTTAAACAGCCAAGAGATACAGAAAGTTAAATATAGATAGTGTGCAGGGAAAAAAGATAAAATTTTGTAGGGCTAGAAGCAAATTAGGGCAACATTTGAACATATTTTATACTACAAGCTTAGGATAGGCCTCTGACACAGGGAATTTTTAAAGATTCAGAAGTGCTTTGTAACCAAGATCATTTAAACAGTTTTAAGTCTAAATGCAGGAAAATTATTTACTGTGTTATAAAGTTTTTATATTTGATATTTCCAAGAATCTATCAATTATATTGTTTGTTTTCAGGGCTCAGTTTGGAAATTAAGACATAGAGTAAGTCTTTAGTTTATAAATGTGAGACGTGATTTAAGTGGATTCTGATCAAAGCTTAATTACAAGTTGAGGCCTGCTAGTTGAGAACAATTAAAGGACTGTTTTACAAACATGAGTGAGAATGAACACATCATAAAGAAACAACAGAAGCATCTCTAAAAATCCTTAAATTATACTGATTAGTTAGAAATATATACAATAGTGAAATACAGATGACATCTTCCAGTCTGTAAAGTAATGGACACTAAGTACCAACTTAAAATTGTAGTACTTAGGATGAACAACAAAGTTAAGTCTTGGAGTCTGACAGTAAAAGAGCTACCTTGAACAACAGAACAATGACTGAAACATTAATTCATGTTCTCCCCCTTTTCTTTTGATGGACATTTTTTCTGACTTTATTAAAAGGCTTTTTAAAGTTTCAGTGTTTAGCTCCTTTTCCTATAGGCTAAATCTGAGTAATAGAAATCCTAGAAAGGAGAAAAGCAGTGGGGGCAGGGTGGAGGGAAGTTATACTAAGATCATACTTGTCTTTGTTATATCATTCAGAATTAATTATCAGTCAAGCAACCATAAGACAAGTAGTCAAGTTTCATCTAAGAGAAGCATATAGCTATAACCTGAAATATCCCTTTGTCAAAAAAACAATGTTTTCCTATTATACTGCAATACACTCTTGCTAATACTTCAGTAGAAGCCAATTTCAGTCCAAGCATTTTGCACTAGTGGTGGTCAGGCATTGGAAGTAGCAAGAATGTATTAAACTGTTCTTTGAGCTTGTTGTAGCTGTTAACCAGGAACATCACTGGACAACATTG